CTGCCCCCATCCCCACTCCCTGATCTGTATGCTGCTCTGCCCCCATCCCTCCTCCTAGGTCTGTCTCTGCCCCCCATCCCCTCACTCCCCTGATCTGTAGGCTGTCTCTGCCTCCCCATCCCTCACTCCCCTGATCTGTAGGCTGTCTCTGCCCCCATCCCTCACTCCCCTGATCTGTAGGCTGTCTCTGCCCCCCCCATCCCCCACTTACCTGATCTGTAGGCTGTCTCTGGCTGCATGTGTTGTTCCCCTGCGGTTTCAATCAGCAGAGAGAAGCAGGGATAAGATGCAGCTTCCTATCCCTGTCTCTCTCCATACACAGCGCCACCTACTGGCCGGCGCCGGTATTGCAGTTCATTTTCAATCACACGAAAAATAGCAGAACAAGCTGAAAAATCCAGGGGGGGGCAAGTGCCCCCCCTTGCCCCCCCCTGCGGACGCCCATGATGGTGAGGTGGTTTTTTCTTACCATCAGAACTTATATTAAATAAGGTGGCACAGATGCTAGTGTAATTAGCAACCTTAACTGTGCACATTTCTGCGTTATAAGATCTAACAATTTTCCGTGAACCTTTAAACAAACATAATGCATCGGTTTAATTAGCTGTGGACACATTCCATATGGGTTACTGGTACTTATAAGGGTTATTATTTATCCAGTTCATCCATATGTGTTCAGTCAATGAGTGATTGCATATTACATGCTGATAGATAGGTGGTGGAGAGAGATTCTTGTGGGAGCGTGTGTGACGAATGCTAGATGAGGGGCTAAGGCCTAATTGGGCTGGGGGTATTGAAGAATTGATCATCATGTCAGAGTCATTTCTCCAGAAACAAACAGGTTTCAAACTTCCCATTGACTTGTACTCATAATGGCATTCAAGGAACAATATCAGAGGGAGTATAACAACTCCAGAAAGCATAGCGCAAAACATAATCTTGGTCTCAGGTTCGTATGATCCTCTCAATCTACGATATGGTGTGAAAGCCATGATGCTTCGCTAAGGGCAAATTCTTCTCTTTCCAAGTGAGATGAGGTGTTGTCTTCCTTGGTTCCCCTCTTTGGACACAGCTTCACTCGGGATGCGTGAATCCAGATGTCGTGGGAATCTGTGAGGACAGCGGTTCTGGTTACAGCAATCACAGTAGCAGGTGGTCCGAAAGGGTATCCTCCTTTCTTGGTCCTGTTCAGCTGACGGATATACACCTTGTCACCGGGCTGGTATGGATGAGTAGGTTCCTGTGAAGGTAAGGGAAACTGCGAAGAAACATTGCCATATATACCATTCAGTTTTATCAACAATTCCTGTACATATTGTTCTTGTATTAGCTGTAAATCCCCAGACATTATAACAAGTGGCTCCCTGGCCCAGGGTGTGGGAAAAGGTCGTCCCATCAGAATCTCAAATGGAGATAATTTAGTCACCTTGTGGGGAGTCATTCTTATCTCAGCTAAAATAGCTGGAAGATATTTTGTCCAATTTACCCATGTTCCTGCAGTAGCTTTCATAAGCTTCTCCTTAATGGTCCTATTCATCCTTTCAACTACCCCTGAACTCTGTGGATGATAGGGTATATGAAACTTCCAGGTAACTTGCAAGAATTTAGCAAGTTCCTGGGTAACCTTACTAGCAAATGCCGGGCCATTATCAGAGTTAATCTGCAGACGGCAGCCATACCTGGGAATAATTTCAGTAGCAAGAATCTTCACTACAGTCCTAGCATCTTCCCTAGATGTCAAAAAGGCCTCAGGCCATCTACTAAACTGATCAACTATGACCAGTAAGTATTAGCTGTTTCTTACCAATTTTAGGTACATGAGTAAAATCAATCTGTAAGTGTGTAAAAGGAGCTGCTGGAGGGGGCAAATGTTCGTGCTGTGATTTGTGTGGAATATTCGGATGTGTTCTCATACATGGTTCACACGATCTTACAAAAGACTGTACATGCTGCCTGAGATTCCTAATATAAAATTAATTCATGAGGAATTGGATGGTGCTTGATATGCTTTTGTGACCAGGACCATGTGCCTGAGTGATGAAAATAAAACAGCTGGCTTCAGGTATGCCTATCTTCCCCTCTTTAGAGAAAAGATCATTCTGATCTTTTTCTAAACCTTGTTTAATCCAAAAATCAAAGTCAGATTGCGTTGCAAAGGCTTGGAGCTGCAAAAGCAAACTGTCAGTAGGGCATGTGGGAGGTGTGAGCATAGCAGGAAACATTTCATAGTAAAGAGTCTTGGCTGCAACTTCTTTTACCACTTTGTCAGCCAAGGCATTACCTCTGGAAATGTCGTCACTACCCAGAGTGTGTGCCTTGCAGTGGATAACAGCTACTTCAGATGGGAGTAGGATAGCATCTAGGAGTGATTGGATGAGATTTGTATGTGAAATGGCTTTTCCATCGGCTCCTACAAAGCCTCTTTGTTTCCAAATCACACCAAAATCATGCACTACCCCATGAGCATATCGTGAGTCTGTGTAAATGTTCACTCGCTGTCCTGAGAAAAGCTGACAGGCAAGTGTGAGAGCAATGAGTTCTGCAGCTTGTGCAGACGGCTGGAAAATAGTGTCAGCTTCAATGATTTTATCAGGTAGCTGTACCACGGAATAGCCTGTGAGGTATGTACCATCATTTGGTCTGGAGCAAGAGCCATCCACAAAGACAGTGGTCACATCCGGGCCACTGAGTGCAGTGGAGGAGAGGTCTGCTCTGGGAGATGTGGCAATATGTATTTGTTCAATGCAATTATGAGGCTCAGATGGTATAGACACAGAGTCAGATGCAGAAGTGAGAATAGCATTCAAAACAGACATAGGACCAGAATTAACAGGACTATAAACAATAGACAGATTCTGGGTATTAAGAAGAATAATCTCATAACCACTTAAGCGCTGGGCTGTCATGTGTTGTGTGGTGAGATTTTTTATAAGCTGAGTGACCTGGTGACTGGTATGGAGTATTGTAGGATGCCCTCGTGTGATAGTAGTAGCAGTCTCAACAGCCATTGCACATGCTGCCAATGCTCTGAGACACGCCAGCATACCCTGTACCGGAGCTGGAACTACTTTGGAAAAGAATGCTATGGGACGCATACCGCCTCCGTGCTCTTGTGCACAGACCGCGGCCATGGTTTTACAGTTGTCCCGAGCATACAAATGAAATGGTGTACAATACACAGGTAGTCCTAAAGCCGGGGCTTGAACAATAGCAACTTTGAGGGCAATATACGCAGCTAGCATGTCTGGTGACCAGCGGACATTTTCAGGGCTGTCAGAACGTACAGCCTCCCTTAGGATTGAGTCATAATGGGAGCATTCAGGGATCCACTGGCGGCAGTAATTAATCATGCCGAGGAAGGTGAGCAACTCCTTCCGAGTAGTGGGTTTAGGAATCCTCTGAATGACCTCAATATGTTTTGGACTCAATTGTCTGGTGCCTGAAGCCAGAATAAAACCTAAGTAATCAACCTTTGATTTACACAATTGCATTTTGTGTTTTGCAACCTTGTGACCCACAGTTGCTAAGTGTTTGAGCAAACTGACAGTATCCACAGTGCTTGCCTCATAGCTAGGGCTACATAACAACAAGTCATCAACATATTGCAAAAGGACGGAACCATGACTGGGGGTCCATGGTTTTTAGAGTATGTAGTACCAGCGAATAAACGGCTGGGGAATCCACATAGCCTTGGGGTAAACGTGTCCAGGTATACTGACAGCCTTCAAAAGTAAACGCCATAAGTAACTGTGTCTCTTGATCAATAGGTATAGAAAAAAAATGCATTACTTAAATCAATGACAGTGAAGCAAGTGGCATCATGTGGAATGGCTGTAATGAGGGATGTCACATCAGGGACAATGGGTGCAATGGGCACAATTAAACTATTCAGGGCTCTAAACTCCTGAACTAAGCGATAACCATTACCTTTAGGAACTGGATTAATAGGTGTGTTATATGGGGAAACTACTGGCTTTAGTATTCCCTGCTCTAGAAAAGATTGGATCATGGGGCGAACTCCCTCAACTTTGGCTTCTGACAGGGGGTACTGTTTAAGGATAAGAGTTACATCTGGTTTTAGTTTGGCTTTGTAAGGGGTGCAGTTGACAAATCCTACATCTAACTTAGATGAAGCCCACACAGAGGAAGGAACATCAGACAAATCAATAGCTTCAGAACACAACATAGACACATCAATACCACCAGAGGGCGTGCAAGTAATAGTAGCTCCCAGAATACCAAGAAGATCCCTTCCCAGCAAATTAACAGGACGTTTAGGTATTAGACGAAAAGGGTGCACAGTAGAAGAACCATTAAGAGGACAAAAAACAGACAGTGGTGGTGTGACAAAAGTGGGTGTTGACACTCCATTAATACCCAATGAAGGTGTAGACTTTTCCCTTGTCCCCTGATAATAGGTATCACAGAGACTGGAACAAAAATGGCAATCTACCAGTATCTACCAAAAATGGCAAGGATCTACCTTCTATGACCAGAATACAAAAAGGCTGATCATCATTAATAGAGGACAAAAGTGGAAAAGTTGGAGTGTCACCTTCAAGGCAGCCCTATTGGGGCCATGGAATGTGATGGGTGTGCTGGTCAGTGGTACCTGTGAATGGCCCTAGTGCAGTTTGGGTTTGCTGGAGTGAGGGGGGAGGGGGAAGTGCTGGCCAGTGGTGTTGGGAGTGGGCCTGGTGTTGTTCTTGCCTACCGGGCGTATTTTGAGAATTGTGGGGTTGTTGGGGCTGCTGGGGTTTCCTGGGGTGTGGACACTCATTCCTCCAGTGGCCATGCTGGCCACAGTTGAAACAAGTGTTCCTGTCTATTCCTCCTTGGTTACCTCTGCCCCTATAACCCTGATTTCCCTGTCTCCATCCCCTTGCCCCTCTTTGACCACCCCTTCCACAGGCTCTATGTGCTCCATCCCATCCTCTCTCTCGGGCCTGTGTAGGTGGACAGTGTTGCAATCCCTGAGAAAATTAAGCAACCTTACTTCCTGAATCTTTTTTTAAATCAAAACAACCTGCATTTTCCTTCTCTATAACCTTGGTAAGAAAATCTGAGCCACCCAAATTGGCCCAGTCTGAAATCAACTGTTTCACAAGCAAAGAATACCGTGGCAACATATTACCAAGGCATGACTGTATTTTAAGGAGATCCATATCATCTCCAGACTTCAAACCTGCCTCATCCTTCCAACACTTGTAAAATCTCTTTACAAAAATACCAATCTCTTCCTTTGCACCTTGCTTACATGCCAAAGCAGTGGATATAGACTGCTTATTCTTCCATAATCTCAACATTTCAGCTTCCACCTCATCCCACATTTTAGCACATCCTGCTGAAGTACTAAGCTCATAAACACCATCACTGCCAGCCATTCCAACTCCAGTACTGTTGTCTGTCTCACTGATAGAGGGTACCTTAGACCAATCCCAACCATACCCTAATATTCCATTTATAATTAACTGTATGTCTATCTGTGTCATGTTCTTCCTAAACACATTCTTTTCAGATACATTAGGGGGATTAGAGGGATTAGTACAGGTGTTTGGGGCACCTTGAATAATGTCCTTGAGTACTGCAGGATTAATGGGTTTCATTATTAACTGTTTACCAACAGTCATAAACGGGGCAGTAAGATCAGCACCTTCTAATTCTGGCATCTCTACATCATCATCACCTTGCTTATGTACATATGATTTTAACACCTTGCCACTTTTAAGTTTAACTCCTGTTTGTACTGTTAATTTAATTGTACCGGGAGGTGGCGTGGGTATTCTATATCAGAATCTGGTGTAGATGATGATTCCTGTAATTGCTGTGATTGTGAATTAACAGCTGCAGCAATAGAAATATATTCTGTATCATCCTCTGAGGGGGCATTAGGTACAGCAGGATACATTGCTTTATAGGGAGGTGGGGGTTGTGGTTAGGCATGGCCGGGGTTGACTGGATATGGATTCTCAGGAGGGGCTTTTCTCCCTTTCTCTTAGCCAGGTCTTTCTTAGCTCCCTTTAAAACCTTTCCTGTTACACTACAAGGAAACCAATGAGGGGCTATCTGCAACCAATTTTCACCTCCTGCTTTCATATATTCCTTATCCCAATCTGGATCAGGACCATACCACGGCCGTGACTTCCTATCTCCCAAACACAATCCTCGAATCATATTCATATGGAAATCATCATTAGCCCCACACCTGGGAAAAGGATCAGATGACTTCATAGTCTCTGTCCATCCTGCTAAATTTGACACATAGGGGATTGTAAGAAATACTCCTTGTGCTCCTATTCTAGTAACATAATTTAGACATGACTCCCCTGGGTAAAGGGTAAGAAATAGACTGATTATTTCCCATATTTCTGGCTCAGGGTAGAGACACTACCTACTTACCAATAGTGTGTCTCTACTTAACGAGCAAAATAAACACAAAGCAGACACAGGGTGACCAAAGGAACGAGAAGTTTGGGTTATTCTAGATCTATAAACCGTGTTCCCTAGAACACCTATAGTCTTAATAAACGGAGACTCCTTTATCGTCTCAAAACCTGTATCTACCTGAGATACCCTGTATCTATCTTAGATACTAACCTGGGTTACCAAGAACCCTATATATATATTTAGACCAAATGTCTAATAAACCGGAGACCTATTTACAGTCTCAATATAACTAAGTCCTTATACCTTTCCTTTCTACTGGATACAGACTTACTAAACTAAAGGGGGTCATAGACAATTAGCGTCAATAAGACACAAAAAGGCTACTCACCGCAAATGGTTTTGCTGATCCCACTTCTAGACATCAAGCTGAAAGGGTAAATGCTGTTCTGGACTCAACTCCCCTCGATTCTCGATCCTCCGGTCACCACATCAATTGATAGGAGTTCTTGTTAGCAAATTAAACACAGACATGAAAGAGTGCTTAACAAGTTCTCAATGAGTATATTTTCAGGGCTAGCATTTATACACAGTTTGTCACGCAAACAGTGAGATTTATCGTTTCCTTATAGTTAATAGTACATACTTGTCTGACATTAAAAAGATAAGTATTTGAATAAAGACGAGACAGGAACATCCTAAGGTCAAGCAAGGTCATACATCCTGTAGCCGAAAGACCTTGGTACAAAATACATCTGCCAAAGTCAGCATAATTATTTCAAACATTATTTTAAAGGATATAAAGCAAAAAGAGTTAACCATTTCACTTCCTTACATTCTCCACTCCCCCCTCCCTCCCTGTAATCTTCTCCACTCCCTCCCTGTAATCTTCTCCCCTCTCACTCCAATCTTCTTCTCCCCCACCTCCCTCCCTGTAATCTTCTCCACTACCCCCTGTAATCTTCTCCCCCCTCCCTCCCTGTAATCTTCTCCCCCCCTGTAATCTTCTCCCCCACTCCCTCCCTGTAATCTTCTTCTCCTCACCTCCCCTTCCCTGTAGTGTGGCCGAGCTCCTCTCCGGTCCGCGACCCGGCCGGACTGACAGGAAGTGCACACTCAGCACACACAGTGTGCACTTCCTGTCAGTCCGGCCGGGTTGCGGACCGGAGAGGAGCTCGGCCATGCTACAGGGAAGTGGAGGTGAGGCAGTGCGGCAGCCGCCTGAGCTCTAGAGAGCGCTCAGGCGGCTGTGGCATTTAAAGGGCCAGCCATTCAAAGAAAGGATATCAATGTATAGGAATGTACAGCCAACCCCCTGTCTAAGATGAACAGAACTTGTTAGTGTAGGGGCTTTGTAACGGATCACCTGGCACCCCGACTGGGTACCTCCGTTGAAGGATGCTCCTAGCGTTTCCTGAGGACTCCAAGCACTGCAGCAGACACCACAACCACCGAACCGGAGAAGCATACGAATGCTCTCAAGCATATGAATGTTGTAAGCAGCTGAACAGGAAAAGCATACAATCAGCTTACACTCCTTGCAATCAACATGCAATCCAATTCCCCCATTAACGAGATGACACTTCATTTTGAGGTCAAGCAGAACTAACTGTACTGGCACATACAGCCTTTTTTATTCACAATCCACAAACATAGTACAGCCCACAGGGTTTTGAAATACAACCAATCAATCTGTACAATACACACAGACACTCCCACACAAAATCCTCCCCTCTGCCTGTGATATGATTACTGAACACAATGGTTAATATAATTATCACAGGCAGAGAAATACAGTATTATAAAAAATATCACAGGGAGCCCAAAACATGCAATAACCCCATAACAAGTATATCCTCGGAACCGGGGGATCTGGGTGAACCACATATAGAACATAGAAACATAGAATGTGACGGCAGATAAGAACCATTCGGCCCATCTAGTCTGCCCAATTTTCTAAATACTTTCATTAGTCCCTAGCCTTATCTTATAGTTAGGGTAGCCTTATGCCTATCCCACGCATGCTTAAACTCCTTTACTGTGTTAACCTCTACCACTTCAGCTGGAAGGCTATTTCATGCATCCACTACCCTCTCAGTAAAGTAATACTTCCTTATTTTTAAACCTTTGTCCCTCTAATTTAAGACATGTCCTCTTGTTGTGGTAGTTTTTTTTTTTTTTCTTTTACTCTGTTGATTCCCTTTATATATTTAAATGTTTCTATCATATCCCCCCCGTCTCGTCTTTCCTCCAAGCTATACATGTTAAGATCCTTTAACCTTTCCTGGTAAGTATTATCCCACAATCCATGAACCAGTTTAGTAGCCCTTCTCTGAACCCTCTCTAAGGCATCAATATCCTTCTGAAGATACGATCTCCAGCACTGTGTACAATACTTCAAGTGAGGTCTCACCAGTGTTCTGTACAATGGCATGAGCACTTCCCTCTTTCTACTGCTAATACCTCTCCCTATACAACCAAGCATTCTGCTAGCATTTCCTGCTGCTCTATTACATTGTCTGTCTACCTTTAAGTCATCAGAAATAATCACCCCTAAATCCCTTTCCTCATATGTTGAGGTTAGGACTCTATCAAATATTCTGTACTCTGCCCTTGGGTTTTTACGTCCAAGATGCATTATCTTGCACTTATCCACATTAAATGTCAGTTGCCACAATTCTGACCATTTTTCTAGTTTACCTAAATCATTTGTCATTTGGCTTATCCCTCCTGGAACATCAACCCTGTTACATATCTTAGTATCATCAGCAAAAAGACATACCTTACCATCAAGACCTTCTGCAATATCACTAATAAAAATATTAAAGAGAATGGGTCCAAGTACAGATCCCTGAGGTACCCCACTGGTGACAAGTCCAAGCTTCGAATATATTCCATTAACTACAACCCTCTGTTGCCTGTCACTCAGCCACTGCCTTACCCATTCAACAATATTGGAATCCAAACTTAAAGATTGCAGTTTATTGATAAGCCTTCTATGTGCAACAGTGTCAAAAGCCTTACTGAAATCTAGGTAAGCAATGTCTACTGCACCACCCTGATCTATAATTTTAGTTACCCAATCAAAAAAATCAATAAGATTAGTTTGGCATGATCTCCCTGAAGTAAACCCATGTTGTCTCTGATCTTGAAATCCATGTGTTTTTAGATGTTCATCAATCCTATCATCTAACATGGTTTCCATCACTTCCCCCACTACTGGAGTAAGGCTTACTGGCCTATAGTTGCCCAACTCCTCCCTATTACCTTTCTTGTAAATGGGCACAACATTCGCTAACTTCCAATCTTCTGGGACTACTCCTGTTAACAATGATTGGTTAAATAAATCTGTTAATGGTTTTGCTAGTACACCACTAAGCTCTTTTAATAGCTTTGGGTGTATTCCATCAGGTCCCATTGACTTATTTGTCTTTACTTTTGACAGTTGAAATAGAACCTCTTCCTCTGTAAACTCACGTGTAATAAATGACTCATTTATCCTTTTTCTCAACTGAGGTCCCTTTCCTTCATTTTCATCTGTAAATACAGAACAAAAATATTCATTGATGCAGTCAGCTAGACCTTTATCCTCTTCTACATACCTTCCCTCATTTGTTTTTAATCTAACTAATCCTTGTTTTACTTTTCTTTTCTCATTTATGTATCTAAAAAATGTTTTATCCCCCTTTTTTTACTGACTGTGCTATTTATCTTCTGTGTGTGATTTGGAAGCTCTTATAACTTGCTTAGCCTCTTTCTGCTTAATATTATAGATCATTTTGTCTTCCTCACTCTGGGTTTTTTTATAATTCCTAAATGCTAACTTTTTGTTTTTAACTATTTTGGCCACATCTGTGGAGTACCACAGTGGTTTCTTGAATTTTTTGCTTTTACTGACAAGCCTAATGCAATTTTCTGTTGCCTTCAATAGTGCAACTTTTAAATAATCCCATTTCTCTTGGACTCCATTTAAATTGCTCCAGTCTGATAATGACTCCTCTACCCATATTCTAATTTTAGAAAAGTCTGTTTTTCTAAAGTCTAAAACTTTTGTTTTTGTGTGGTGTGACTCAGTCACTGTTCTTATATTTAACCACACTGACTGATGATCACTGGATCCTAAACTTTCACCTACAGTAATATCTGATACCAAATCTCCATTTGTTAACACTAAATCTAGTATGGCCTCTTTACGAGTTGGCTCCTCAACAACTTGTTTTAGAGACAATCCCAGTAGGGAGTTTAGAATATGTGTGCTCCTGGCACAAGTAGCTAATTTTGTTTTCCAATTTACATCAGGAAGATTAAAGTCACCCATGATGATAACTTCCCCCTTCATTGTCATTTTAGCTATTTCCTCAACTAGTAGAGTATCTAACTCTTCAGTTTGTCCTGGGGGCCTATAAATCACACCTACACTGTTACTGTGTGATTAGCAAATTCTAACGTAACCCAAACGGACTCTATGTTTGCCTCACTAACTTTTATTAGGCTAGATATTATGCTATCCTTTACATACAAGGCCACCCCTCCCCCTTTCTTGCCTTCCCTATCTTTCCTATATAAAGAGTACCCTGTACCAGAGTACCAGTCATTTTTCTCATTATACCATGTCTCAGTAACAGCGACTAAATCTACACTATCAGTTGCCATTATTGCCACAAGTTCATGGATCTTATTCCCTAAACTACGAGCATTTGTAGACATGAATCTAAGCTTATCATTGCTTAACACACTTGCTACAGACACCTTCTGTGCTTGTTTTGGGGGAAAATTGGATTGATGTTTTATCACCCTTTTGCCCCCCCCCCCTCCTACTTTAAATACATCCTAGCAAAACCTCTGAACTGCTCATTGAGAACATTTGTTCCTGTGGCGAAACCAACCTCGCCACTGTACACTGGAGAAGCCTGGTTGCTCGCCTGCTGCCTTTGGACTATGGCCCCATGTTAAAAGATATCTTTTTCCCTGGAGAAAAGACTTATTCGTGCTTTTCTGACGGGTGTTCGGTAGATTCAATCTACCGAACAACCGCACGAATGAATAGGCCACCTGGGAGCTGGAGTGTGCCGGCAATTAACCTCCCTGAAGCTGCGGTTAACCACAGCTTAATTGACGAATGCTGGGTGGCCGCCATTCGTATCACGAACACGAAGTCGCTGCCATTTTAAACATGCGAATGCACAGCGGTGTTCGACGCTTAATTCATGGAACTGAAATTGGACACAGTTTTGTGCGAACACCGCTGAAGCCGACGACCTCCCTTCTTGTTCGGTGAAAGTGCACGTACGGCCCGGTGTTCGGTAGTTTTGTTTGAGTGTGTTGTACCCCAGATAGGAATCCCATGTAGCCCATTCGCATGAAACTGACTGTGTAAAGACTTTGGCTCCATGGCGTTTAAACTGTATTTGTGTGGTCTGAGCGCCATTCGCTTAATAATGTGCGCTCAGACCTGAGCTATCTGGGGATATGTAGAACGTATATGTTTTATGTACTGAATGTAACTGT